AGGAAGACCCGACTGATATGCAGCCTCACAGTCCAAGGTAGTTTAAAAATTTTATATTATTGTTTTAAATTTTGTTAATACTAATAAATCATACAATTTTGGTTTTGCCTTTTTACTAATATCCATATTCTATCAGTAGAAATAAATACAAACTTTTAACATGTATGTATACATATTATTATTCATTAGTTTATTTTTTTAGCAAATTTACTATAAGGAATGAAACTTTTCCAATCTTTCATTGGAAAGATATGAATATAATTTATATAGCACACGAATATTTAAGTAAAACTGTATTATGATGATAATGTATTATCATTCAATTTAGGACATAACAACAATTCTTTAGATCCCTTTTTACCGCTCACGACTGAACAGTGCTAGTAAAACAGATTTTGACTTGTTTATTTGATTTACATGGCTATGGATGAAGAGGCTTATGAGGTGTGTCAAAAGCAAATACGAGTGAACGAACACAAGTTCTACTGTATAGAAGAAGATTTATTTGCTATTATGATTTATAATATTTGCTGATTTCTTAACTCCATGGTATGTTTTTCAACTTAAACAATTCCTTGTAGCATCTTTTTTTTACTGTAAAAACTGTTTTTAAACTGTTAAAAGTAGGTATGTGAAAATGAGTGTAAAACAACATTGATTAATATTGAAAACCTTTAACCCTTTAGGTGTCAATCAACGTAATCACTGCGACTATTTTTTTGCCACAAGTGTCAATGACAGGCCTACGGTTTCAGTTGATATAATCCCACAAGATCGAACAAACCCGGTTATTGGGCATACTAACGTGTTCAGGAGATTCTGGGCTTCATGGTGAGTATAAAAGACGGACGTTTCCCGAATTATTTATCTTGTTCTGTGATAGTTTTTCCATATGTCATTGTTTGTTTTGGTTGCTAGTGAACGAATGTTTACGTTGTACTGTTGTTGTGTGTCGTGATTTTTAAAGTTATTATAAAGAAAAACAGGGTGAAACTATACAGACTGTCCCAAAAGTCCCGGACCGGTTTAATATTTTCTAAACGACAACAGATAAATCAATAAGATTTGGTACATCAACACCACACCTAAAAATCTACTTTTTTTAGGATATATCAATTTTCTGTCATATCATGGGGACGTCCCGCAAGGAGTCTGAAGGAAATCTTAAATAGAAGCATAGGTTGACATGTACATAAAATTAAAGGCCTTTACTAGCAGAATATAATGCCACAAATTTGAACTCAAACGGACAACCGAGCCAAGAATGGCAGTGGTTCAAAGATTCATTTAATTTGCATTGCTATTATACGCTTAATCCTCAGGGGGCACAGCCCTAGGAATCGGATGAAAATTGTTAACGTAAGCATAGGTCGATATGCACATCAAATTAAAGGTCTTCACTAGTAGATTACAATGCCGTAAATTCGAGCTTAAAAGAACGCCTGAGTAAAAAAATGCAGTTGTGCAAAGATTCAAAATGGCTGATTCAAGAAATCTTTGAACGGCGGTTATTTTTTTCTCAGTTATCCGTTTGAGTTCAAATTCGCGGCATTATATTATTCTAGTAAAGGACTTTAATTTGATGTACATATCTACCTATGCTTATATTTAAGATTTTCTTCTGACTCCTTGCGGGACGTCCCCATGATATTACAGAAAATTGATAGTTTCTTAAAAAAGTAGATTTTTAGGTGTGGTGTTGATGTACCAAATCTTATTGATTTATCTGTTGTCGTTTGGAAAATATTAAAACGGTCCGGGACTTTTGGGACAGTCTGTATATTTTCCTTTTCCTTAACCCTTTGCGATCGGAATGAATATTTGCCGTCATTCCTCAGCGGTCGCGCGGCCAGCTCTACTGGCCGCCGCCATTAGCGCACGGAAGTCGGATTTATTTCCACAGCAGTTGTCCTTTGCGATCGGACGGCCAGCGGTGCTGGCCAACATGAAATCCAACGAACACTCGGGCGTCCAGGAGGACTGGCCAACAACATTGTTTTCGTTTGTAATATTCCAAACTGTGTTATGATGCCTGTATAGTGCTGCAACCTAGTGAGGAATTAATAAACTAACCGATCAGCAGGTTTGCAACATTATATAGCAAAATTTGTGGTGGCGACAACAAAAATAAACACCTGTTGTTTTGGCAAAAGTGCTGTCATAACAACCGTTGTTTTGGTTCAGTTTTACAATTGAGTTTTTGGTTATTTCCTCGACAGATTTATGTTTATTTGTAGTTTTAATCTAGTTTAAAGTTTTAATGTAAATATAAGTTGATTAAAAGAACATTTGTACATATACTACGTATACGCGCTACACTTTTATAATAGTTAGGCCTACAATACAACTGTTTTATCTCTTATAAACATTTAGACGTGTGAATTGGGTTATGTTTGTTATTATTCCAAGCCTATATTTAAGTAAGTAATTATGGACGACCGTTTAAGATCAGACGAATTGAGAGATTTATTGTTTGCCGACGAAGAAGATGCTGATGATCCCGATATTTATTATGGATCCGACCACGAAAGTGACGTAAATTCAACTGATTTAGCTGCAGAGTATGAGGACTTGGTTTTTGAAGAAGTTGATGATGGATATGAAGCTCAAGAAAATTTTGAAGAGGACTATGGAAGTGATGGAGGTCAAGTAGCCTATGTGGAATTTAATGGACATTTAACCACGTAAGCAGTACACGAAAGTGGAAATAATGATGGCATGGAAGTTGAAGAGATTAATGGTGAAGGTGCCCAAGGGACAAATAATGAAGAAGGTATGGGTGTGTCGGGACAGTGGAAGGTATGGTCTGAAGGGGATAATAATTTTAATAAGTTTTCGTGGAAACATGATAGTGGTTATAAGCCACCAAATGACCAAACGCCAACAACACCTTTGGACTTTTTCCAGCTTTTTTTCATAAATGATTTAATGTTGGAGATAGTGAAAGAAACAAACCGGTATGCTGCAGAAAAGATACAGAAGAATACACCACTCCAGAAGAAATCCATCTGGCTTTCGTGGAAAGACCTTACGCTGGAAGAGTTGAAAGCTTTTTTTGGACTCATAATTAACATGGGGATGAATGAGAAACCAGAGATAGGTGACTACTTTTCAAACAATTGGGTTGACTACCAACCATTCTTCAAAGATGTGTTCAGTAAGGAAAGATTTTTACAAATCTTCTGGAATCTTCATGTCTCCCCACCTCCATCTGGCCGCGTAGCTGGGACATTAACTCGATCAGGAAAGGTAAGAAATGTTGCTGCATACCTCGATAAGAAATTTAGAGAGTATTTTGTCCCACAGCATGAAGTAAGTGTAGACGAAAGTATGATTGGGTTCAAAGGAAGGATCCTATTTAAATCCTACAACAAGGACAAACCCATTAAATGGGGAATCAAGGTTTTCGTCTTGTCAGATTCAACTACGGGCTATATTTGTGCCATTGAACCATATTTTGGTAAAACAACCACAGATCGCTTGATTAGGCCTGATTTAGGAGCTACAAGTCGTGTTGTTTTACACCTAGTGGACAAACTTAAGCAAACACTGGGAGATGTTGAAGGGCTTCACGTTTTCACTGACAGATTTTACTCCAATCTTGATTTGGCAGAGGCACTATTAGCATGGAAAGCCCATACAACCGGCACTATCATGCTACACAGAAAAGGATTGCCGGAAGAAGTGAGACCAGCTAGGCCTAAAAAGGACAAAGCGAAAAACAAACAAACAAGAACCTGCCTAAACCTAAGTTGAAATTAAAAACTGGGGAAACAAAAATCTACAGAAAAAATGATGAAGTGTCTCTTCTGTTGTGGAAAGACAAAAACTTGGTGGCTATTTTAAGTACACTGTTCGGTGATAACTCTACCCAAACGGTTAGGCGCTACAAAAAAGGGGGAGTAGGGGAGTTAGTAAAAAAACCTACTGCAGTTTGTGAGTATAATAAACATATGGGTGGTGTGGACATCGCAGACCAGTACATTTCCTCGTACTCATTTACAAGGAAATCCCTGAAATGGTGGAGGAAAATGTTCTTTTGGCTTTTGGAAACAGCAATTGTAAATTCCTTCATTCTATACAATACCAATCAAGAAAGGAAAAATGTAGTTCGCCAAAGACGTTACAGAAAAATGTTGATTAAAGAACTGGTCGGAGAAGTAAGAAATGTCCGAAAACGAGGAAGACCATCATCTTTAGTCGAGGACGAGCGACTGAATGGAAAACTTCATCTGCCCTATCCGCTTGAGGGAGGTAAAACAAAGGACTGTGTGGTGTGTAGCGATAGAAGACCAGGAAAAGAAAGAAAAAGGTCAAAGTTTTTTTGTAAAACTTGTTCTAACAATCCCGGACTTCACATGGGTGAATGTTTCGAAAAATATCATTCAGTGAAAAAAATCCGAGACGATTAAAGAGAACTTTCAACTCATTGTTTGTATGAGTAGCCTATATACGTTCATTTTACACTTTTAGTAAATACGTAATATCAAAGAATTTTCATTTTCAAACAAATGTATGTATATATTCAATATCTCTTCTGTTTTTTTTACTTAATAAATCAGTTGTCAGTATAACATTACGATTGTTTTATTACAATTTATATCCCCTATGCTAACATTGCAGGTTTTCAGTAAAAACAATTCCGAGCTGCTGGGAGCGAGCCGCCATGATGAATGCCGAGGGGGCGTGTACTAGGACTTGGCCAGTACAGCTGGCCGCCCGACCGTTGGAACCAAGTCAGTACGGATTGAATTCCGACTGGCTGCAGACTGCGTTGTGGCCACTCCTGCTGGCCTTCCGATCGCAAAGGGTTAATACATGTAGAATAAAATGTATATCTCAGTTTTTGTAAATGTAGTGATTTTTTACATGTGCGGTTATGTAAAAAATTAAAAACTTGTTTTGGAACATCTGGATTTGAACCAACAACAAAATTGCTTTTATACAAGGTAAGACACAAATATCACACATTTTTAGATAGACAATTTTATTTGCTTTAAGAAAATATACAATGTTATATATCTATGTCATAATTTAGATTTTTTATTAATTTTGTAATCAAACTCCGCAAAAGTATTGAAAATTGAGTGATATTTACAGGTGTTCAATGCAATATTTACAGGGTTAATGACCTAAAAATGTCATGTTTTCCAAAAAAAATTGGTGCATTACTTTAGAATATATTGTTCAATACATTGTTTTACAGTACTCGAGTAATACTTTTTTATTGTCTGTAAGACTTTATGAAACCAATACCAGATTTTATCCTTGATTGTACCCAAGTCACAAGAGATTCTAACATTGTAACTTCCACAGTCAGAGTGTACTGAAGCTTATTATCGACAGTGTACTTGTGGATGATTGAAGTTGGAATGGAAATACAGTTTTCAGCATACGGATCTTTATCTGGATCCATATTAAGTTTAACATCAGCACTGTAAGAAGATCCCTTAAGACTTAGTTTTACCGAGCCCTTGAACTCAATATCCACCTTCCCATTACCGACCGGGTGGAACACTGCGGTAAGTTTTTCAATATTTGGTTCATTCTTCATTTCTCCCCAGAAAAAGTGGCCTTCGACATAGATCGGTGTGAATACAGAACGTTTTATTTTCGGGTCAAATGGAATGCCTTTCTCAACATTCCCAAGCAGAGGAATCAAATACTTGTTGATTGTCGTGTGTTTGGATTGTATATGGCGTACAAGTTCGTTCTCAGGTCCGGACCAATCACAGTGGCGACACTTTGTCAGTTTGAAGTTACAAAACTTCTCGTGGTCATCTTCAGTCCGCACGAAAAAGTCACATTTTTTGTGTCTGAAAAATAAACACTGAATCAACTTACACCCTTATGGATTCTGAAGTAGCCCATGGTGGAAGGAAAAAACATAGGTATGATATTCCCGTCATATGCTGACATCAAACAGATTGCAAACGCCATTTCACTATTTATAAAAAAATTATAAAAAACAATTAACAATCAAAACAAGTATATACTAATGGCAGTTACAATCAGGTGATTTTCTGTTTGCAATCTGGGTGACGTCAGCCTATAACAGAATTAGCACACCTATGTTTTTTCCTTCCACCATGGAAGTAGCCACCTCATTTAAATGGACCAGCTTTGGACTATTGTCTTATATAAAAAAAAAACAAAAAAAGCACTTGTATGTGCTACTTACAGAGTGCACAGTTTTAAATTATATTTTCTGTCTTAATTTGTGTTTCATGATTTATATAACATAAAAGATGCTGTTGCTTACAATAAGTTTTTTTCAGTTTGGCTTGTTTAAAAAGTTTGCGTATTCGGCAACTTTAACATGGGAATAAAATTGCAAGTTCTATGAGCACGCGCAGAAGTCGCTTGGATAGGCCTATCTAGACATCACCGTTTCACTTTTTACGTTTTGTTTTTTAATCAAAAGAGAAATGTGTGATAGCTAGTCCAAATATGATTCCTCGTCCTTTCTCGAGTAATAATAATTACTAGTGTACATGTTGCTCGAAATCGAGCAATTGCAGAGAAGTACAGGAGTTACGTATAAACAAATGACTTGTTTAAAAACTAATAACAGTCATAATTTCCGATGATTTTAAAAGAGTCAACCTAATGTACCATACCTAAGTTATTTAGCCAATTTGTATGTGTAGGCTACTTTAAACTCTACAGAACAGAGTTCAGCAAAAACTGTCAGAACTCTGAAATGGTGTTATTTATCATAGGCTTACTCATATGACAAATCCTTAAAATAAAAATTCAATGATTAATAACTTATATATCATTAAACACAAACCAACATCCAAAACTATACACATTTTTAATACAACATAGACAATTTACACATTGACTGTTTACAATTAACATATGTTCTTCTTCTCACTTTTAATTTTTGCTTCGCAACGGGAATAGTTATTTGTGTAACTAGTGGTGAAAGTGGCACTTTGCTGCACACGAGAGCAATGTTTACGCACGAGCCGCAGGCGAGTGCGGAATGATCTCGAGTGCAGCAAAGGCCTTTTCACTCGTGTTACACATTATATTTTTCCTACAGTCACTATAAAGCATATAAATAATTAGTCTTTCAAACACTATACATCACGTTTTTAGGTTCAGCTGGCAACACAATTGGTGCCCTAGAGAAAGTAGTACCCGCGGTCCGTATCACTCCGCTATTTTTCCTCGGCAAGAAATTTGCTCCGCGTTTTGAGAATATAGTTCCGTATGTTTTTGTAATTTGAAGTGGTTTCCGTGCCTAATAAAATGCTTTAAAGGTATTTTCTGGTTTATTAAGATCGTAGGAATGTTTTAAAAACGTTTAAAAGAAAAGTCCAGGAAGTTCAGAAATACCGAAACTATAAACACGAAATGACAGGTAAATCGTAGTTATAATAGTCAATCAGCTGCTCATAGTATTATTATCTTTAAGTGTTGCCAACCTATTTCCAAGCATACAGGGATTACGTGCATAATAGAACCACGCTGTTTTGTGTTGTTTCGTTGGAATCCTGATGTGCGGCAAAGTATAAACCGTACGGCAAAGTATAAACCGTACGGCAAAGTATAAATATGCAGCGATTGGCAGCTTTCTGTACTATAAACAGTACAAGGAAGCCAACTTTGTCGGGTGACTGTAGGAAAAATTCTTTTTCATAATCATTGAAATAGATTTATAATAAATAATCTATCATAAAGTTTAAGATTAAATAAACCTACCACATAGTTGTTTTATTTTTTTGGATCAGCTGTCCGAAATTGTGAAATAGGCAATTGACATTTGACAGTTCTGGTTGTTTACATTTAAATGTCAAAGCAAACGTAAACATTGTGAATTTTCTAATGCTTCCATGGAAACCAATTATTAATATTTAATTTCTGACAACAGCTGGAGTTTCAAAACAATGTTTGTTTCCCATGTTAATCTTATGGAGAAATACGAAACTTTAAAGGGCCCCAGGGTCTCACTCTCTAATTATTTATCTAAAAAGAAAGTTTCTTGCACAACTTCACGTTACGCTTTTTCCAATGACACCAAAAACATGTCAATCGGTTCAGTAGTTTCGGAGGAGTAATTGTCACAAAAATCCTGCTTGCGTATTAAATAAGTATAGATTATTACTTATTATTATTTCCTCTTGGAAAGAATGTCATGGGGACCAATAAACCCACAAGGCCCATGTTAAATTTCAAAAAATTTCAATTCATGTAGATAAAAGCCCTTTAGTCTGATTTGTACCATTTCAAATTTATACCTTCCCTTAATTGGTTACTATGATTTTGCTAAATTTCATGTGGATCGCTTCAGCCGTTCAGGAGGAGTATTCGTAAAACAAAAGCGGAAGTGTAGTATAAGAGCCTCACTCGCTCTGTTCAATGAACGCACCAAACTGACTGTGTGTAGCAGGCTACACATATCGCTCTAGTTGAGTCATATCCTAAAGAAATTATAGGAACAGTCTCCTGGATATGCTGATAAGACTCTTTCCTTATCTCAAAACAAAATGTTTTCTTCCTCCTCTTGTCATTGATATTTTACTTTTAGTTTTTGTATATTTCGCTTGTAGTCCTCTTTTATGATGTGTTGACATTTCTTTTGTGGTCTCTAAATTCTTCTCTTTCCACCAATTTTCTATTGAATTAAGTTTTTGGTACTCTTCCTTTCATCTTTTTAGAAGAACCATCCTATTCTTGCAGCATGGTTTTTTCCTTATTACTGTTCTATATTCCCTAATTTATTAGATAGGCTTGATGCAACACATATTAAGCCCTCACGGTTTTATTTTGTGGTAGCTACTTTAAAATCGCAGGTCGACTTCTGTTTATAGTTAGTCATTTTTTTATTATTTTTTTTTTTTACATATTTTACATAATAAATAATGTATTTCAATTCCTAAAGGTAGATTACTTAAGTTTCTTAAATTAAGTAATTATGAAAAAAGTATCGTACACAAAAATTTTTTTAAATTATATAAAAGAGTAAAATATTACAAGTTTTTTTTCTGATGGTAAAGTTTTAATAGACATTATTCAACTAAAATGAGCTGTATTCAAATATAATTAGGTTTTAGATTGATGAAACTAAGTAAAGGACATACTCAACTCTTTCTCAATAAAGTAAACTCCTGGCAAAAAGAATTAAAACAAATATATTGTTTTCCACTATAAGAGATTACAATAATATTATTGTATTATCAGAGGAACTTAGATAACGATTCTGTCTAAAAAGGATGGTTTGATAAGAACAATCCAACTAATTCCTGTTAACCAGTGACTGGTGTTCTTAATATTTTTGTAAAACTATAAAATTTATCCTTCCAAGGACACCAGCTTTCAATTACAATTCCTAAATAAAAAAAATGTTTCCTATGACAACTTTCTGTTTATAGTTTTCTTGATACGATTGAGTTAAACTTTACCTACTTTTAAATCAAAAAAGGATATGAAGAGAAATTGTACTAAACATTTTTGTAAGATATAGATTAGTACTTGTAATATAACCAATTTATCCTTAAAACCCTGTAAAACGGTTGATTTACTTAAAAATACTACGGTTGAACTACTATGCCTATTATACTTCAGCTCTAAAACCATATTAATATTTATGTTACATTTCATTAAGGCTGATATAAATAGGTGTACAACTTAACTGGCAAATTACTTTACTTAAAATGGGTACTATGGTCCCCATGATTTGATGGCAAATCTTTGTCACCCTTTTTTCTGAATTGATAAAACTTTGGCCATGACTTAAACCTACAAGTGTGTGGTAGAGATTCGACTCAGTCCGAGATTTTAGCTCTAAAACTATTTTGAAGGAAATTTAACCCATTGATGTCGGGAATATTTATTTTTTAAGGATATTTCCTTTATGTTCTTTATAATAAATTTATGTTGACATGATATGTCCATATTTGAAGAAGATAAAATAGCACAAAAAAATATGTGTCCTCCTCTATTCTATTGTAAAATAAGCAAAACAGGTCCCTATAGAATAAAATATATTATTTTGTGCAATTCCTAGTAAACTCACTATTACCATCAACTTACGCTTACGCCTGACACCATTTATTTAAAGTACGCCCTCCACACCAGCTAAGCCACACGTTAGTAAGCTTAATATGGATTGCTTATGTACGGGATTTGCACTTGCACATGTAGAAATACCTCAACACTACACTTGCCTGTTCAATGCCTTAGTCAACTGAGCCAACGTCCGCCGAACGTGACAATGTGTTTGGCAAACTAATACCCCTGGACTTTACTCGGGCTAAGAACTTCAAATGTTAAGCTAAATGGTTTATGTTACCTTGCTTCGTCAAGTGGTCCTTTGCAGTAGTACACTACTCAGTCAATTATCAGGTTTTTTTCTTACAACGCTAGGCATGAGCCCTGAATTGCTTTTCACATTACTTCATGTGAAATACCTAGGGGTTGCGGCATTATCACTTAGATCCAAATCCATTAATGATTTGGCGGGATTTGAACCCGGGACTCAGGGATCAAAGTCAAACACTAGACCAGCTTGTTCCCCCAGACTCCATTATAAGGTGTGACAAAACATCTATCCAATTTGGTTATATCTGTCATTACGTTACCATTGTAGAACCATAGACTGGGACGGGTGGCGTCGTCCTGTAATCCAGCTACTAGGAGGTCATGAATTGTGGATATTTATAGGCATGCACTGTGGATGCGATACTCCCTGGTGTGGATTAACGTCCGCACGAGTGAGTACTACGACTATCCGCAGTACTATCCTGATAATTATACCAATTCGTATATACCAAGGAAAAATGTGGTTCGGATTCCACTATAAACTGTAGGTCCCTTAGTTGCCATTAGCTGTATGGGCTATTAATTAACAGCTGTGTCTAAGGAATGTCGGCCTTAGTCACTAACAAGACTACAAGATCGCGCCACTCATCCTACACTCATCTCCATTCATACTTGGCTTAAAATACCTACTATGTGTGGTCGCCATTTCATTGAACAGTATCATACAAAAACACACTACAAAAATTCTAATGAATATAATACTGAAAAACCTGGCCACTGCTATCCCGGCAGACATGTGCAGCGACTTTGGAAGATGAGTCATAACTGCATGTCAAAGCCCGGTAGATGACGTATGAGGAAGCAATGTAACCATTTAGTTTACAAGCAGTAATCCGGAGGCTACTAAACCATGAAATTTAAGTGGTAATAATTGATTGGGGCAAACAAGTTTTTTTTCCTTCTCACCTTCTATTTGCCTGTCCACATGGACTGCCCGTGCGTGAAACGTATCCCGCAAAGCAAGTGTGAGCCGTTACAGTACACAGGTGAACTGTACTGATAAAAAGTTTTTGGCAGTGACCAGGATCCGAACCCAGACATCGCTGCCTTGGGGCCCGAAGTCCGTGACGTACCGACTGAGCCACTGACTCGCCAATAGTCTACTAGAGCGATAGTTAAATTATAAATTTTCAAAACTTTTTTTATGGATTGGTATTACTTTTGTCTAGACACATACCTGCAAGTGTGAGGTAGACACTCAATTACTTGACTTATGAAACAGATTGGCTGATTCTGACAGAAAGCAGCCTTACATTGAGGACATTCCGACTTGTGCAGTTGTTTCAGCTGCTCCAAGCAACCCTGGCATACTGCATGTCCGCGTGCACAAAGTGCCACTTTGGACGTCAACGTCTCCAGGCAAACAGGACACACTGCCAGCTGAGACAAATACTCGAGTGTCTTACGCATCTCTTCCGGAGAGAGAGTCTCCTGCAAACAATAATATTTTGTAGATCCGTGATCAAAATTGATATAAAACTTTCATTCACATTTTGACATCGATACGGAGTGACTTCAGGACGAGTTGACTTCCACACGGTTGGCATAACTAGTCAAACTATTCAAGTCACTTGCTTTGTTCAGAAGCATTTTATGGCATTTTGATTTTAGCACATTTTTCAAATGCTTCAATTTGAGATCTAAGTGTAATTCCACTCTCCAATTGTAAGCCACAACATTTCTGTTCAGAATTATTTTTCACTCACTAATACCTTTTTTAAATAAATTAAACATGTAAATAGTTTTTTGACACACTACACCGCAAAGTAGCTGTTGTGCTTTACTTACTCTCTATATCAGCAAATTTACCATATAAGTTATTACCATAGGTCACATCGTAAAACCTAGACCTGGGACTGATTTAATTATCCTTTGTGCCTACTACACCAGAATACCAAGACTAATTGATTTAGTATAGTTTGAAAGATTACTCCTTTGACGTCAATGAATTAGCACTCATTACAGTTAGTGAGTTAGTTCATTGTTGAATCATTTGATAATTGTTAAACGGGTTTGAAAGCTAACACATATTGAGTATGCAATTAGATTTTGATTTTTCTCTGCAACTGAAGAAAAACAAACTAAAAGTTAAAAATTCTAAATTCACAATATTAATTGATGAGTTAAAGAAAGATAGTTTGATCCATGGATGAAATAGCAAAGTAGAACTATTAAAGAACAAGCTAAACAATAAAATGCATATTAGTCATTCTTAGACAATCAATGGCGATGCAATATAAATATAATGTTCTTGACATTGCTTAAGTTGTTAAAATATCTGAAAGCATAACATCACACAAAATACAGTTATGCCATGTAATAAAATTGCCATGTGATCAAATTGAACAGTAATATTCTTGATTTGTAAACAATCTTAATTAGCCTAATATAATTGCAAAGCAATGAAAACTATGTCACCATTTAAAACAGATCTTTTAAAGTTTAGCATTTTGTGTTTGAGTGAGTTAAAATTTTTTAATTAATTTATTTACAGAATTCCATCACATTTTAAAATTACAGTACATTATTTTATTTTGTCTTACAGAAAATATGTTTCATACAAAAATAATTACCATTTTCCAAGGGAATCCTACAGTTAAATGATAGTGAATTTTCTAACATTCAGTGAACAGTAACAGTAGCACAATCAAGCTGAACTTGAACTGTTGATAAGTCTAAATATTCTTCTCAACTATGTGGCAAAACAGCTGATACAGTAGTTTACAGAGAACAGCACAGCTGACTAATGGCACACTAACAGAGAAGAAAAATCTATCCCCTCCACTTTACCAAAATGGAATAACCTCGCCTTTTTTGTTTTTGCTACTTTTAAAAATCAATTAGTATAATTATGGTAGCTAGTTGAATTAATCATTGGTATGAATTATAATCATTTTTAAATCCATGAAGTGTCATAAGGATATTGCTAAAACAGGGTTACAAAACGGTTTGATGGTTTTCCTGATGTAAAAATTTAAACACACCATTCAATCTTTAATAATTTACAAATAAAAATACTTTTTTGAAAATGCCACATGTTTTAACGCACTAAAAAGAATAAAATAATTGATAAATATGTTGAGAGAATAACTACTTGTGAGATTTAAAACAAAAACGTGGGGCGCATGCAATAGATCATAATAGTTCAATAGGTGAAGTAATATGTAAATTAGCATGCGCCCCTTGTTTTTTGTTTTAAATCTCACAAGTAGTTATTCTCTCAACATATTTATCAATTATTTTATTCTTTTTAGTGTGTTAAAAAATGTGGCATTTTTAAAAAATATTTTTATTTGTAAATTATTTTTTAGTTTTTAGTCTTTAAGTTTTAATGTGTAAATATGTTATATTTTATATGGCCTGTTAATACAAAACCAAAACCTTATTTTCTGTAATCAGATGTTTTATCTTTACTTTAAAATGCTTGTTTTATATTTTTAGAATATCTCGGGAGCAGAACCTGTGTACCTTTTAACCTCTGCTCTTCTAACTGTCAAATTTAAGTAGGTATTTACAGCTGACTTAAATCAATTGATCTTACATTCTTTCAAAATGTAAACATGGAAAATTTGGAAGCCCATGGGACGTAACCCAAGGGAAATGTGAAAATTAAATGATATAAATTAAATAAATAAATTAAATTCTTCTAACTGTCAAATTTAAGTATTTATAGCTGACTTAAATCGATTGATGTATTTACATTCTTTCAAAATGTAAACATGGAAAATTTGGAAGCTCATGGGACGTAACCCAAAGGAAATGTGAAAATTAAATTATATAAATTAAATAAATAAATTAAATGATTGTCATCCATTTGTGAGATATGTTTCAAATTTCATGTCTCTAGCTCATCGGGAACTTCGTTTAAAATTGATATCAAAATTTGTAGGAAAGTGAGCTAATAAAAACAAGCCCATGGGACGTAGCCCAAGGGAAATATGAAAATTAAATGATTTAATATTGCATTGTCATCAATTTGTGAGCTATGTTTTAAGTTTCAAGTCTCTAGCTCATTGGAAAGTATAAAAAATTGCAAAAGCGAGCTAATAAAAACAAGCCCATGGGGCGAAGCCCAAGGGAAATATGAAAATTAAATGATATAATATTGCATTGTCTTCCATTTGTGAGCTATGTTTCAAGCTTCAAGTCTCTAGCTGATTGGGAAGTTAGTATAAAATTGATTGCAAAATTTGTACCGGACAAGAAAGCGAGCTAGTAAAAACGTTTTAAAATAGCTTATTCCCTATATGGGAAATTCGCTAAAATAAACTCTGTAGTTTTGGATTATTGGAGTTCTGTTGAACCAGCACAACGAACTGGTATGTGCTGAACAGTACATGTACACACTTGTATGTGTTGAACTGCATACAAGTTATTTTTATATAGGCCTAGAGAGTGTCTCTGAACTCTCTACCAACCTTTTAGGGAATCATTCGTAGACCAAAGACAAACTAAAATATTATGTTTTAAATTTCCTAAACTTAAAAGTAACTTGTACACTTGCCAATGTTTTTCTTCACAAATTATATTTTATTTGTTAACCGTTTGTTGTATGGAATTGAAATTTGGTGCAGATTAATAAACCCATAGACCTATTTTAAGAAAACATATTTTTGTATATCATGGTTGGTATAAAAATGGCGGTCATTTAAAATGATTGAACTGAATTCAAATAAAAACTGTTTAGCTAAAAAACTACTGTTGCAATGTTTTATTTAGACGATTTTCAATGTTGAATGGACGAATTGAAAACGCTTGACGTCCATTTATGAAGCGCCATCAGGGTCTTCAAAACCAGGTTGTTTAACTACATGAAAAGGATCAACCAGTGAGAAATAAGTTAATATAACCAACCTACTATTGTATTAAAAGGTACCTATTTTAAAGTATAGCAAAGTATGTGTAACAAAAAAGAGAGTCCAAGTGCTGATGGATACACAATAAAGATTATCAAACATAACACTGATATTTTGCCTTAATATAGGAATGCTCTCTGAAAAGGGATTTTAAAATCAGTGTTTTATGTTTCATGACCTTTTATTGTGTATCACCAAATGTACTCAGATAAGTCAGCTGATAATCTAAGGAAACGGTCCAAACCCTGGTCTTGCTACCATCCAACGTCTTGACTATTGATGCTAACGTCGACCTAGCATCATTAATTGATCGTCCAATGACAAACGACATCTGGGTCTAGTAAGGACCCAGCTTGGAATCGAACCAGCGACCTTCAGATTTGTAGCGAGCACTAAACAACTCTGCTACCACAGACCAATAGTTACTTTAAGACATTGACACACACCTATAGGTGTGTATTTTAATCATATTATAAGAATGCAAGTGAGCTGACTTGTGTAGTTTTCACTGGAGGTTCTAGGTCCTTGTCGGGGGGGGGGGGGGGGGGGGGGGGGCTACCATAGGGTGTCCCAGACTCCCAAAGAAAAGAGGGGGTTCAGAAATCCTCCCCTGGAAAGCTTGGTATTTTTAAAGCCATTTCGTGGCTTTTTAAAGCATTGTAGTTAAGTAGTTAAGACAAAATGTGTGTTTTAATTTATTTTTCCACAGTCCAATGGGGAGTGACTTAAGCCTCTGTAGCCCCCCCCCCCCCCTTGCAACCGCCACTGGTAGCTTTGCTACTCACTAAGATCAGATGTTTCTTTAGCCAGGGCCATTCATTGAAATTTTAATGATCAAGGACTGCAAGGCTTTTTAAATGTTGCACCCTTTCAAATTAAGTTTAACAACTATATTTGTTTTTGATGAACTTATTATTTATTATATATCACTGGACTAGAGACGTGAAGCATTTTTGTCACGAGTTTTGATATTTTGACAACATGCCTGGATCTGTTAAGCCCATATAATTTTTTCACATTTGGTTGATAAAGTAAAGTAAAAATTTCTAAATGAGCAGGTTTGCTGAAACTTTTTTGTTTAATTTTTTCTTAGGCTCATATCATACCGTACAAGAGCGCTATTGTCGTCGCGCAGATGCCGTCGAGACCGCCCAAAAAAGACCATGTCATAGCCTATGTGACGGCAAATGTGTCGCGTTGAATGTTGATGCCGTCCCACCAGCGCCGGGTGCCTGTTATGTGTACACGATGTGTCAAACGATGATCACTCCAAAAAGGTCTTCCAGTTGTTCTGCCAGTAGTCGTGCGGCAAATGCGTCCTGCTGACCCTCCCAATCCATATAACAGGGTCCTCCTGGTCACTAGCGCCGCGTCGCTGATGCGACCGTCTGCGTTGGCAGCGCTCAGCAGCACACTGCTTCGATGTCCTCACATTTGTTCACTTGTCGAGAAAATTATTGCAGTTTAATTAATTAATTAATTTCTCTAATAATGACTTATCAAACCCCTATTAAGTAAATCAAATCAGATCTTAGTAAGGTATTTATTTGCATTATATGATTTCTAGTTATGGTTATTTTAAAATGTGGTTTAGGCAGAAGCTACAAGATAAGCAGATGATCTATTTTCTATTATTGTTATCTTAGAAATGTACATGCAGAATCAACATTTTATCAAATAACATTAACATATTAATCTTGTAATGTTTTAACTTCATTTACAAGAATAGTTAATTAAATTTAAATTTTAAACTATTCCCGCCATCGTAATAGTGATGCTACTCCGCTGTTCCAGTGTCTAATAGTACTAGAATGAGTGAAAAGCAATGGCCGCCTACCTGAACCACTGTTATTTTAGCAACGAAACGGAGCAAGACGTTTGATGTTTACCGACGTTTTTTGAGAATTGAAGGTAATATTTAGGACAAGGAATACACAATATGCATTGAAAACATAACAACAAAATAAATTACTACTTCATTCGAAGTTAATGGTGTACGAGGGCCTTATTTTAGCCATAAAGCTGATAGACTGCTTGTTACGGGGCCTTACCGTATGTTTGATTTTGCGGGAAATACAAAGATTCCGTTTTCGCGCCATTTCGATTTGATGCTACTGGCCCTAGCCCTAGCAGCAGCTGCTGCAGATGGCATGGCTGCAACAAGCTTAGGTTCGAAAGTTGTCGTGTGGCATAATAGCGGTTACTAAAGCGATCAAGCTTGTTTATCGATTCTGTTTAACAAGTAATGGTTATCTGGTTCCGTGAGTCACTAAATACGAGTGTTAATTTGCGGTGAAACTCGTGCCGTAAGTTAACAGTAAACCTTTAAAATTATGCGGTGACGGTGGCTTGCGAAGTCGAACTCAAACAATAGACTCCAACCCTAGACATTCAATGTCGGCATCGTTGAGGGAAAGGTGAATATGTAGCACCTTGGCGAATTTCCTCACCGGAATCTAAGAGCTATTTCCATTCCTTCAAATTGTAAGTTTAATTTTACTTAATCTAAATGGAGTTGAAGTTGGTACGAATAAGATAGGTGGTATTATAATTTCACCTCTTGTGAGGAAAATTGACCTCACAGGAAGGATGTGATGCGTCGTTATTTTTGTCCCCGTAGGCAATATACGTAACTGTAGCTAATTAATTTTTTTAGTTTATTTTATTTAGAGTATTAATGTGGTTAGGCTTGTTATTTTGGTTATAAATGGATGAGCAAATAAATATTAATTGTAGGCCTAGGCCTACCTAAACTTGGTAAGTTACCTAGGCCTAGTTTTGTTGGAGACTGAATCTGTAACTTGTTAAATAGATAAATGCTTCATATTACCCTTACTATTTCTTATGGCTTGAGGCTTGACTGTATTTTTTATTTTTACTTGATGTTTAACTGAATTTCCTTAAGTGTTATATTTGTCCTACTGAGAGTTAAGTTTTATTTGATGCTTATTAACATAGGCCTAGGCCTTGCTCACTTGTCACAGGCTTATACTCTAGGCTAGGGTCTTTTTTCTATCAGCCATCAAGTTCTTCCCATTCTCCTCTAACTTATAAGTTATGGAGGTCTAACTTATATTATAACCATTCAAGAGTTAGACTAGGTCTAGGCTATAAAATAGCAATAGGGTACTTAATCATTTTTTGGGATTAACCTAATAAACTTAGGCCTAACTTAACTTAAGTTGGCCAATTTGATTTATGCTTCACATTTATTTAGAGATAAGTTAGAGTTAAAGGCTTAACTTAACTTAGTCTCTACCATGTTTTTTCACAACATAGGCTATAGGTTACAGGTCTAAATCATCACGCTAACCTAATTCTAGCCTTAAGCTTTAGGCCTAGGCCTTAGGCTATAAAATTCTTGCATTTGTTAAGGTTCATTTAAAATAGTGAACTAAGTTAAGTTAGAGACAGCCTAGAAGTAAACTTAGTAAAAATAATAAGGGTTCAATCATTTCAAGCCGTAAGTTACAGGCATGGTCCTTTGCATGGTTTGCTGTTTGGACTTGCAGTTTTTTTGTTTGTTTTCCTTTATTTAGTTTTATTTCTTTTTATTGTGGCTGACACAGTCTATTGTAGGCTAAGTTACAAACTTAGGTAAACTTAATGGCCTAATAAAATCTTTGAATCTTTGAATGGTCGTTCAACAATTTTAATTTTGATGAAACTTATAAAGTTTTAACTATATCAATAGAAATGTCATGCAAGTATTGACAACTTTATTTTCCCTCAGAATTTAGGCGGCCATCTTTGTTTGTGCGAAACCCACTTTTTTTTACAAAAATCGCCGTTTACTCAATGTTAAATAACTTGGCCTAAGTTATTTTATTTTTAAAGATATCAGGACAAATTAATAAGTTTACCAAAATATTTAGCATAAAATGGGCTTCAAATTGATACATAATTAAATGGGATAAATATTTAGGCTACAGTAATAGGCCTAAGTAGCCTAGGTAGGCTACCTATGTCAATGCAAAAACGTTCACAGATTTTTTCAGCGATGAAAATGTTGTTATTCATGCAATATTTTTAAAGGAAAAAATAAATTCTCACCTTTGATAATTATTTTAATTTAAAGCTGTCGTACGAGACAGTCTAAATCACAAGTTTTAATCAAAAGTTAAGAGTGTTGTCCTTTTTTGTCTCATAGGTCTATAAATATGGTGGATTGTCCAATTTTTCAATTTTCAAGATCTCATATTTATAACAAAAAGGACTGAACCAAAAAATATCAAATTTCTGTCATAAGCACAAGTTACTGGTACCTACTATAAGTATGTTAAGTTTGATCATTGAGACACATCTAGTTTAGAAGATATGCCACATCAAAGTTGGACGAAAACAGCAAAAAAAAAGGAAAAAAAAGCCAAATAAAACGAAGCATGTATCGAAATAAGCCAAAATGTAAATTCTTATGGTTTCATTACAAAAAGTTTGTTATTTGTATGAGCATACAAATAAGTTGAGGTAAATTAACAGTTAACCAAATTCAAACCTAAATTAACTCGCGATTGAATCGGGGGGTACTGCCAAACGAGAAGTTACAACAACTAGTATGCATAGACCCTATCAATGCTGATACAAGAATACATGTTCAACTTGGTTTTTATTGATTTAATGCCACTTTAGCCTTGGCAGTAGCCTTTGCCAGCATGTTAAAAAAATGGCTGACAAAATAGGCTAGCTCTGAAAAAAAATTCAAGTAGCCTACAAAATTCGTCTAGGCCTACAGTGCATATTTTACAAAAGACGAAAAACTTAAGGTTAGGTTTGAATACTGCTTTCCACTAACTGAATGGGGATAAGAAATAACCATAGGTTATCCCTGCTAAGCGACTTGTTTGTGACTTGACATTGATACGAGGAAGATTGACTAACTTACCTGAGGGAGGTAAACCACTCTTTATGAAGTTAACAAATAACGTAATTTCTGTCAAGGAGCAATGATCTTTGTTTGTTATGAGTTGGTGTGGAGTGTGTTAAATACGATTTCCGTATTCCGTGTAGTCTATTTCCACAGTTAGTCTGATATTTATTTAGTAGTGCAGAGTACAGTAGTTAAGTTAAGCTATGTAATGTTACCTGTAGGTCTATTGTGTAGCCTAATTTCATTTTCAAGCATAAACTTATAAGTTACCGATACTCACCGTACTGGGCTATTTCTTTTAAGGTATGATTTTGATTGGGGATGGGATCAAGCAGAATTACTGTAGGTTCGCAATTACTAAGGGCCATGTTATTGACGTTCTGCTGTATACCTACATGTTATCTAAGTTTTTATGTCGGTTTTTAAGTTTGAATCCCGCCAATCATCAATGGATTTTATCCATGTGATAATGCAGCAACCCTCTAAGTTTAGGAACCTCTAGCCTGAATGTGTAAAACAATTCTAGGCTAGAACCAGTGTCCTAAGGAGGTGAAGGTGGAGAAACACAAACAAATAGGCTAGGCTAAGTTAGGTACCGGTATTGAAGTTTTAAAATACATATGGACCAGTCCTGCATAAAATTGCATTAATTATGTAGTTATCCTAGGCCTTTAAAATATTATGGTACCTACAACTACCAACTAACTAAGGCCTAATTAAGAAGAATCCTATATAAGTTAATTCATTCCGGTATGTTTTTTTCGTGCGACAGAATACTTAATGTCTTGATATGAAGACTTGATATGTTGTTACCAGAGGCTGAAGATGGGTTTTGATGAAAACTCAAAATATACAACCACATTTTTTAGTAGCCTAAATTGTGATTAATTTATTCTAGTGATACCAAGAATAATATATTGAGTTACCGTAAGTAATTATTCCAAAAATAACTGGGAACCTAAGAAAATACTGGATGACCAAGTTTAAGCCTTGTTAATTAAAAAGTTTTTATCTGGTGAATCCATGTTTTGATAGAGCCCATGCTGGCTCTATGTTAAAAAAGTTGGTAGTTAAAATATTAAATATATTAAAATTTTTTGCGAGTGCAACTGTAAAACTGAGAAAAAAATAATGAAGCTAGCTTATTCGACCCATCCATTCCAATTATGAAATTTGGCACGGATGTGAAGAGGTGGATAAACTAGAATGGAGTTTGTGAACCAGCAAGATCGGGTCATGGTAACAGAGTGTTAAATGGGGTTTTGAAAGTTTTCAAATATTGTTTTGTTATTTTTTAAATTTTTACCCATAGAACATGGATAGAATTATTGCTGTAGGCCCTAGGATTACAGAGTGAATTCCATAAAACTTGACTTCCAAAAATTAATAACTTTTGCTATAATTTCTCTCGTAATACAGAGGCAGGTAATTAAGCCCAATCAGGTTGCAACTACAGTACTTAAACACTTAACTATAAGCTGATGGTTAACATCAGCTCCTTTTTATTTTTAAAGAAAACAAATATATTTTTCCTTTGATAAACTTTAAATATTAGGCTACCATACTGAGCGGATACAATCTGAAAGTTTATTTGATAGGGTGAAATATGACCATGTGATCCTTCTATTTACCTCCCTTTATGCAAGATGAGACTAATCTATCATGTTGTTATCAAATAAAAGTAATCATTATTTATGTTTGGAGATGAGGAAAGCTTAGGGTTTTCTTCCTCCAGGTCAGTAAGAAATGTAGTTGATGGTTTATATAATCGAGATGCATTCTCTACAATCTTCAGGTTCCAAAAAGTTTTTTATTTTTCAGTTATTTCTCTAAACCATCCTTCATGATTTTTAGCGAATTTCTCATTATATAGGGAATAACGTATTACCCTACATAGGCTATATTACCCTACATATAGGCTATATTACCCTACATATAGGCTATATTACCCTACATATTGGCTATATTACCCTACTAATAAGCTATTATTAGTAGGTCTCATGGTGAGACCTAGACCCGGGACCGATTTACTTTTTCGTTTTGAGATCCCCAGAGGCCAAAACCACCACCCGTTCAAATTCATATAATGTGTGTGTATGTCTGTTAGCGCGATAACTCGAGCAAAAATGGTCCGATTTCGATTAAGTTTGGTACAAACGTGTAAACCTACGCTATAATTCGAACGAGTTCGCGAACCAGCATAATCGGATTATGGGAATGGGGGTTTTTAGCCTATGGGAGGTTTTATGGGGTAAAAATTTATTTTTCCCATTTTTGACCCTAAGAACACAACATTTCATAATTTCAATTTCTCTCCAAACCATTTTGTAGAGCTTAAAAAAAGAAATAATTTTGTATATTAAAGCGTTTTTGTAGGCCCATCAGTTACGGAGATAATTAAGAAAATTCCAAATTTAAAATTCCCTTGTTATTCTTATGGAGAATAAATAAACTGTTGTAGTTTGCTTGTTTATGGATATATTTTAATCAAATTGGGCAATTTTGTTTATTTTATACTAAGCTATCAATATTTCAATAAAAAAAAAACACACACACCTTAATATCTTCCCCGTAGCAGCAAACCTAAGTACTCACTAAAATTAATGTTATTTAAAGA